ATGTTTTTACCAGTATTAAATGCTACATTATTTATGCTGTGTTTTTGTTTTTTGATAAAAACATACGCTATAATAACGGCTGATGATAACCGAAAGCGCTCGGCAAAAAAAAAAAAAAAAAGACTAGGGTCCGATTTAAACTACTTAGACCGAAATACTAAAAAACTTGCAAGAAAAACTGAAAATATCATCAAACAGAAAAGTTCCGTAGTTTTCAACAACACATGCCTGAATGACATGCTATATATATATATATATATATATATATATATATATATATATATATATATATATATATATATAAAGTGTGTGTGTGGAAAATATACTGAAAAAAACAAAAATCCTAATATACGATTATGCTGTTTAATGTTTAATGTCAACGTCGCATATTAGGATTTTTATGTTTTTTTTTATATATATAAATATATATATATATAAATAAGTTGTGTGTGGATATATATTTATTTATATATATATATATATATATAAATATATAAAAACAAACAAAAATCCTAATATGACGTTGATGTAAACATTAAAACAGCATAATCGCATATTAGGATTTTTGTTTTTTTTTTCCCCCCGCTCAGTATATTTTTTCTTCATACTCTATCCATATATTTGCTTATATATATATATATATATATATATATATATAATGTGTGTGTCAGTGATACACGCTTAGGGCAATTATGTATCTTTCGATACATGACTGACGAGGCAGATTCTTCCGTAGTAGGCTGCCATTTCTTTCTGCAGTAGACCAGTTGCCATCAGAGGCTATACAACCCGGTATGTCCTGCTATTTACCCATAGCTGGGGGGAGAAGACGAGGATTCATAACTTTCCCAAGTGTATTAGCACATGACTGCCGGGGCAGATTTTTTTCCCGCAGCAAGTTGCCATTTCTTTCTGCGGTAGCCTAGTTGCCATACAAGGCTATAGAACCCAGTCTGTCCTGCTATTTACCCATTGCTGGGGGGGGCAGAAGAAAAGCATTAATACCTTTCCTAAGGGTATTAGAACGTAAGTGAAAATGTAATGGATTTGTGGCACCATGCATACCTAGCGAGCTGAAAAGAAATATTCATAAATATATGATTTGTTTTTTACGGGTTGTCAACCATTTGATAATTATTTAGGGCTAAAAAATATTTCGGGTTTTAGGAATAATTCTTTCTTTACGTTCAAGCGATCTGGAAGAAGGAAAGAGAAAACGAAGAAGAAAGAAAGAAAACACAATACGAAACCAGGTCATAAGCGAGCACACACGGGCACGGCTGACAGATACCAGATGTCGAAAAAATATCAGGTCAAGCACCTGACCTACTTCTGTGTCCACGAAAAATGGAAGTTTGTTATCAAATGGTTGAAGAAACAAAGTTTAGGGACAATGAAATATATGATAGGTAACAGGTGGGAAGTGTATCTAAGGATATGAAGACAAACCATTAATACGAAAACACAGACAATTTCCAGAATTGGAAAAAGCCACACAAGATGATGTTCGCTGAAAATGTTTTTTTTTGAGATAATGAAAATTTTTATTATCGGGCCTTTGGCCGGGAAAAATTGAAATATTTTCATTCGTTCACGGAAACGCCAACAGGTCTGAGAAATCCCTTTCTTAGGTCATATCCAATTAGCGATAAACTGCTTGACAAATACCACGTGTTAAAAAGCCGAGAGCGTCATCTCGGTCGTTCATGATAAGGGCGATTTAAATTAATATTTTGTTTTTTTCATCAAGGTGTTTCTTTCCCCAAAACAAAGCCACGGATTGTCCACACCCGACTAAAGACGTCATTGGCTAAATAAGATCACATGACACACGAAGGAGGAGGAAAGATACCCGACCAGGACCTCATTGGCCGAAAGCGGTCACATGACACACGAAGGAGGAGGAAAGATGCCCGACCAGGACCTCATTGGCCGAGCGGTCACGTGACGCACGAGGAGAATCGGTCGACGCCCTTGTCAGAAGTGTAAGTTTGAAGGGTCGATACGAAGAAGCGGGGAAGTTGATACACGCCCCTCAGAAGCATGGTGAGAAAGTGGGAGTGAAAAAGAGTTACCAAAAATGGAAAAGAGTGAAAAATCCCTAACCAGAAATAAGAAGGGTGGATACGTATTTAGAATTATCGAAGAAACCCTGGCGCCGACAGACCCGCCCCAGTTTTGACTGCGTCAATGGGGGCGGGACCCCAACCGACAAAAATCAGTTTGAGAGCGGACGGCGAGAGAGTTTGAGTTGGAGTTTGAGCCGTGAACGACAAGCAGAGATGAGCGCCCAGTGTTGAAACCGCGTCAAGATAGCTGACCAAGATTCACGCACTCTTCTGGACTCTTCTTCAACCAAGAACAAGTAGTTTGAAGAGCGACTTAGAATCAGACCACAGAAATAAGTTTTTTTCGACTTTCGTCCAAGGACACGCCGAAACACAAATTTCTTAGAGAACAGACAACTGGAAGCCTTAAAGTTGCCTAGTAAAAGCGTCGTGCCACAATCCACAGAACGGGTCGGGAAGTAGACATAGTCCTATGTACCGAGCAAATAGACATAAAAAGTTTACCTTTTTCTTGATACGTTGGACCTTGTGAGTTTTTATTTTATTTATTTTATTTTTTTATACATAATTGTGTGTTATCACCCCCGTTAGACTCAACTTGCATTACGGCCCCAAGCCCTGTTTGATCTCGTCTGTCTAAGATCAAGTCACAACGTGGGTAGGCAGACCGGAGATCAGTGCAGTTACCCTGGTAACCAGGCGTTGGAAGCGGGTTGAGAACGACGAGGCTGGTATCAATCTAACCAAAGGGTTAGAACGTCACGTTTTGAGGAGCGAACAGCTGACGCTGCGGCAGAAGACGTCACAACTGGTGCTGTCCGTGACCAGGATATCAGAGCCTGGGGAGCACGTGACGTCACAACTGGTGTCGTGACCATAGGATCAGAACCCTGGACCACGTCACGTCGTAATTGGCGCCGCGAACGGGATCGAACGACACAGTCGACGCTGCGACCGGGGACGACGTCACAGATTCGACTGGAATTCGAACTCTGCTCCCCGATTCCTCAAGCCGCTATCCATTACTCCACCATGCCTCCCTCTCATATATATATATATATATATATATATATATATATATATATATATATATATATATATATATAAAATATATATATAAAACTAACAACAACAAAAAGATACGCAGATGCCCTAGTGGTGATAAAACGCTTCCACAAAAACCCTACAGAAACTTGTGAAGGAAAAGCAAGAAGAAAGGACTAAACCTCAATTCCAAAAAGATAGAATGCATGGTTGTCAGCAAAAGGCTGGGAAATTAAGATTTTTTTTTCTCTGCGGTTCATTGCCAAAGGGCAAATTGCAAACCAGAGATGCCAAAATCAAACAAGTGCGGAAATTTAAATATCTCCGAAGTGTTTTAGCAGAAGAACGAAAAGTGAGACACTTAAAATCCGAAGGCATATTGAGATAGACAAAGATGCCTTCCAAAAGCTAAGCAGAGTACTAAGATATAGACAATTTTCGCTAGAAACATGGAAAAGAGTACTAAACCTATAACGCGATGTCTGTACTCTTGTACGACGGCGACTGCTGGACAATCTCCTCAAACATGAAAAAGAAACTTGAAGCAACAGAAATTTAGTTCTATAGAAGTTACCATGGACCAAACATGTGAGCAACGACGAAGTTTTAGAGAAAATAAAAGCAAAAGGCTACTAATAGTTAACATCAGGAAGAGACATTTGAGGTTTCTGGGGTACGTAATGAGGAAGGAGGGCTTCGAGAATCTAATACTCACAAGACAAAAGGCAAGATGAACAAGGAGACAACGCATAAGATACTTAGTGAGCTTGAGTAAATGGATGGTGGAACAGGGTTTAGGAAAGATAACAAAGTCAAAATTTATTATTGGTTCAAGGGATAGGAAATAATGGAGAGCCATGATCGCCTACGTCTCGACGGGAAACGGCACATAAAGAAAATTATTATTTAACAACGCGTTTCCTCCTCTGATCGATTTATTTTCCGGACAAATGTAAGGATTTTACTTTACATCGTGTATTTATAAACAGATGTAAATACATCGTTGGTTTTAGAATTTTTTTTAATAACACTCATAAAAATTCTTCAGGCTAATTTTGAAAGTCAAAGTAAGCTATTGAGTCTTGCCAAAATGTAAATCCAATCCTCGGATCTTTTCAAATGCACTTTCCAAAGTCAAACATACATGACTATAAAAAAACTTAAAACTTAAAAAAATACTGTTAAATTTAAAAGCTTGTATTATTTAAAATAAATACGTAAATAAAATAATAATTCATTAAAATATAATAATTTAAATAATTATAAAAAAAGCAAATGTACACAAACAAATAAGAAACAAATTCAACAACTGTAATAATATTTACTCGCTTTCTTTTATTAGGCATTAAATTATATCACTTATCGTCCTCTATAGTTTTACTTTCACTTTCACAGACTAAAGAGTAATGACGAACGCTCTTAAATTTAAATTTTATTCTAAAATAAAATCCTTACAGTTGTTTGAAAAAGTCCATCAGAGGACAAAACGCGTTGACAGTTTTCATTTTTGCCTTTACACAACACACACATGCGCGCGCATTTTTTTTTTTTTTTTTTTTTTGAATTGTACATTTTTCTTACATTTTTAAAGGTGGAAGAGAAGAATGATAATAAATCTTGTTTAAACTCCTAGACTGGAGGTCAGCAGCACCTAACTTTTCATCTTTTCTTCCTGCTTAACTAAAAGAATGCAAATGTTTGGCTGTAATATGAACCTTTATTTAATTCTATCACTGGTAATCTCGAATGTGAATGTAGGAAAACAAATTGCTTTATGAACTGAAAAAAATCTTTATTTCAATGGATTACAAGGTTCCATTTGAGTTACTGCTCAGTTTCTCTTCTGGGAGAAAAGTTTGAGAACCTGAGGACACAAGTATTTTAAGGATGGAACAATGGTGTACAAGACTGAATTCTTTGTTTCTCCTTAAATGTCGTATCTCATTCTTTTCTTTTTTTTTTTGTCTCTCCTTACCTGTCATCGCTCATTCGTTTTTTTGTCACTCCTTAGCTGTTATCCTTCATTCGTGTTTTTCCTCACTCCTTACCCGCCGTCTCTCATTCGCGTTTTTCGTCTCTCCTTATCCGCCGTCTCTCATTCGCGTTTTTCGTCTCTCCTTATCCGCCGTCTCTCATTCGCGTTTTTCGTCTCTCCTTATCCGCCGTCTCTCATTCGCGTTTTTCGTCTCTCCTTACCCGCCGTCTCTCCTTACCCGCCGTCTCCTACCCGCCGTCTCTCATTCCCGCCGTTTCCTTACGTCTCTCCTTTTCCTCTTCTTATCCGCCGTCTCGCATTCGTTCATTCTCTTCACTCTTGTTTCTATTTTTCTTTTTCGTTCTTTAAAATATCTTTTTCTAAATTCGTCTTTCTTTTACGTTCTCTTCATAAATCTTTCTATCTGCATCTTCCAATGTTCCACTCCGATGAAATTCCTTCATTTACTTGTGAATAGACGTCGCTCTGAACAATACTTACAAAATGAAGCAGAGAAAAAAAAATCTTAATTTCCCAGCCTGAAAATGTTCCGGCTTTATTGACCAAAATAGAACGTTGATTTTGAGGGGAGGGTTAAAAAGGAACTAGGCATTACCAAATTCTTGGATAAATGCTTTGATCAAGAAAACGAACTGGCATAGCCTATGAATTGATTGTTTCTGGAGGAGGTAAATGGATCTTCTTTAAAAGGAGGTGTATATGCGTTTCAGTCATTAGCTTGTTGGGAACAAAATGGCGGATGATTGTGAACATTCCAGACGACATTTGAATTGATGCGTGCCACTTTTTGGCGGGCTTCTTATTTTCGTTTATTCTTCATAGCATACAGCTGGGAATTACCTTCAATTGATTATCAATGTTGCAGACAGGAATCGGTCGAACGTTTGAGATTGCTGACTGAACTGCTATCGTTCTAATTTTTTTTGTAGCCGACAAAAGATTCAATTTACATCGGTTTATTTAAATCTTTAACTTTTTTTTTTTTATTATGGTTGGTACGAAAGATTCTTGTGACTCTATTTGCTGAAGAATCATGTTCTGAATACACACAAAACAAATGCCGGGAACATTTTCACACATTTAATAAATAGCTTGAGATTTTCTAACTGGGTACTTCGATAGTCATTGAAGATATATTGATTTCGATGCTCGAGGTCTATGGTTTGATCTTCAATAGGGAACCTCATGGGAGAAAAGACACTGTGATGCTGGCGCAGCAAAATCTTTTTAGTAGACTGCAACTCAAAATCACTATTTTGTTTCAAGTCATTATAATTAGTCATTATTGATGGTACAGTGTAATCAACACCGGTTCTCGTTCGATCACCGAAGTTAAGCATCGTAGAGCCAGGTCAGTACTTAGATGGGGGACCGCTTGGGAACACCTGGTACTGTAAGCCCCCAAAGTCCAACCCTTACCTCACAGTCGGTGGGGGGTGTAAACGGTAGTGTCAGAGCTATGCCGCCCGGAACTTCGTTCCTGGTAGGGCCACACAAGGCGGACAGGTCTGACACACACCACCAACTAACAAGGGCTCTGGTGAAAATCCAAGAAGCGTCTGCATCGGCAACCGGCGGCTTCTGGTCGTTCCTGTCTCTGCGTCTGTGAGAACCCCGCGGCAAGCAAGAACGTTATCCGAGTAGGCCTGGGTACCCTACTTCTGTAATTTATCCCAAGAATCTTCTTCTCATAACAGGAAGAAGCCGGCTCAATCCGCCCAGGGTGAATGCCGCATCAGTACAGTACAGTACAGATGGTACAGTGTCTTAGTAACGGAAGCATCCAGGCAGGATTGAACTATATGCCCGTATATAGTTTCGTGGTATAACTGAAATAAAATAAAAAAAAAATCTTTATTTCAATGGATGGATTACAAGGTTTCAATTGAGTTACTGCTCAGTTTCTCTTCTGGGAGCAAAGTTTGTGACCCAGGGGAACCTGAGGACACAAGTATTTTAAGGATGGAACAGTGGTGTACAAGACTGAATTCTTTGTTTCTCCTTAAATGTCGTCTCTCATTCTTTTCTTTTTCCGTCTCTCCTTATCTGTCATCGCTCATTCGTTTTTTGTTTTGTTTTTCCTCTCTCCTTACCTGTCATCGCTCAGTCATTGTGATGCTGGCGCAGCAAAATCTTTTTAGTAAACTGCAACTCAAAATCACTGTTTTTTATTGTCCTTTTCTCTTCACTACGGCTCCTTATTCTCTTTTACTCCCAGTAGCCCCTTGCGTCTTAGTGGTATTATCGCCTTGCTTGAGATGAAATTATATATATATATATAATCTCAAATATTCTGTTTATGCGTTATTTTTACTTTATTTAAGTCAATGTACTTTAAAAAAAAAAAAATAAAATAAACAGTATAAAATTTACCGGCCTAAATGTTCGAGAAATTTCGTAGAATATATATGCTTCTCCAACAGGAATCGAACCTGTAACCCCAATGGGAACCATCATTTGATCTAATATGCTGTTAATCATTCGGCTACAAAGAAGCGTCTGGTTAGCAAAGTCCGAATTACTCTTTATAAACAACAACTTTTCGGCGATCTTTCCCGAACTATCATATCTACTCACGAAACGTACCTTAACGCAAACAGTGACAACAAATTTCGTAAAAAAAAAATAGGCTCGATTTCTGTCGGAGAACGCATGTGTCGTATACGGAACTATCAATTGATCTGACGTGCTATACCACTTAGCTATAGAGAAGCGTCTGGTTACCAAAGTTCAACTTACTGTTTATAAACAACTAATCTTGAGGATCTTTCACGAATGATCATAACAGCTCACGAAACGTAACTGTGTGGATATAGCACGTCAGATCAATTGACGGTTTCTGTATAGGGATTTAGGTTCGATTCCTGTCGGAGAACGCATATATTGTACAAAATTTTCCGAACAGTTACGCCGGTAAATGTAATTAATACTGTTTAATTAAAAAAACTGAGTATTTACTTAAATAAATTGTATATATTAAAATAACGTATATACAGAAAATATATTAAATAATTGTCGGACTTTATCCATTTCATAATAAGCATATATATATACACACACACACACACACACACACACACACACACACACACATATATAATATATATATATATATATAAAATGGCTTAAAGACTAATATTCCATGGTCATAAAAGAAAACAGTGGGACGAATGTTAAAATGTTACTCTAACATTTGTCCCACACTCTCATACGTACACTCTCACGAAATTTTATTTTTTATTTCTGGAGTTGTTTTTTCTGTTTTCTTTTTGAATTTGTAGGTCTGATGAATTCGATCGTATTTACGATTCCAATGGAATAAATTATGACCATGGAATATTAGTGTTTAAGCCTTTTTATTATATCCTTACTCTGTCCTGGCCATTGAGTTCTACCTGGATTCTATCCTCTTGGAATTTTTATTCAAAAAATTATACATGTATGTGTGTGTAATATATATATATTGTGTGTGTGTCTTTTGAAAATTACTTTGAAAATTGTTTTCTGCTGGGGGATTTTTGTATTTTTCTAATATAGCTGAAGACGTTAGAATATACGTTAAAATATTTTTTGTGTGTGTATTTGGCAAGCCGTTTTCATATTAATTCAAGAATAAATCTTTTTTTTATTTGACAATCGTGCAAGTGAGCTTTAGCGGCCTTTCCTTTAGCGATAGAATGAGCTGAAAAAAACTATTGTTCATAGCCGTAGCCTGACATTGACTTCTTGATTTGAGAGTCCGACTGAATTCTGTCGACAGGAAATATACAACGGAAGTTATTGGTTCGTCTCTGAGATGGAAAAAGTAATTTCCTTCTGTTAAGGAATTGAAAGTTAAAGAAGAATCCCATGTATTAACTTTTGCAATTAAATGAAGATGTCACGGTAACGAAAATGAATATAAGATGGGATTGAATAGGTGTATTGGGGGAGGGGGCGACAAGAACCGAGGTCGAAGGTTGAAAAGATAATGAAAAAGACTTAAGATAAAGGCATTGCAAAAATGGAAGAATGGTAAAAGGCCAAAGGCCGAAAAAATGTCTAAAAGAAAAAGTGTGGTGGGGGGCAGAGAAAATGGTGTGAGGAACAGTGAAAAATGGAGAAAGAAAAAAAAATGGAAGGAAAAGCTATACAGAAAAGAAAGAGATTAAAAAATGATTTAAAATGAGTTAAAGCAACGAGACTGAATTGTAAAATGGCGGAAAGAAAGTCGAAGGGGAAAAAAGTTTGGATGGTTAAGGAAAATACGAAGAAGGAAAGAAAACAGATGACATTTAGAGGCTTAGAAAGAAAATTGATTTACAGTAAGTTAAGCAAACTGAAAGAAACCTATGGTTACCGGCTTATTTAGATTAAACGCTAGTCTCTTAGCAGAATTTGGTAGAAAATGGTAGCCATTTCAAAATAAATTAATTCAACAAAATATACATACATACACACACACACACACACACATACATATATATATATATATATATATATATATATATATATATATATATATATATATATATATTATTTGGTAATCCGTATAGATCCAGAGAGAGTTCAATGTAAGGACAGATCAAATGATAATTATGAAAGCGAAGATTTTTAAAATCCCTGGTAATATTTTATTTCGTAAAAAGCAATGCTTCGGATTTATCTCCACAATGAATGGATTTAAAATTTTACCATTTAAACATAAATTATGTTTAAATATGTAGATTAAAAATGGGAGAAGCGAAAAAGGAAGTAAGAGAGAGGAGGGGGGAAGAGGGATATGTATTCAAAATGAGGCAAGGGAAAAATTTTGAATACATATATCTCTTTTCCCCCTCCTTTCTCTTTCTTTCTACCCCCCCTTTTGAATCTACATATTTAAGTATAATCTATGTGTAAATGATTCGTTTTATGCCTGGTAAAATTTTAAATCCATTTATTGTGGGAACTGATTTTGGTCTAATCAGACGAAATCGTAGAATCGGTTTCGCGAAATAAAATATTACCATGGATTTCTAAAGTCTCCGCTTTCATAATTATCATTTCTTACATTGAATTCTCACTGGATTTGTATCCTATTTGAAATTATCCATACGAATTACCAAATAATATCATTTCTTATATAATATATGAATTCAAAACCTGCGGAGAATCGTTTAGGGACCCTGTGGCACGTAGTGCACCAAGTCTCTGTATTCGGCCCTTCAAAAAGTGTGGATGGTCCTGCATGAAACCTTCACCGTTATAATCAAATCTCATGTGCTGCTGTCGGGCTGTCTGTTTCCTGGGAGCTGATCTGCTTGACCCTCATACGTCGAATTCGACGGGAGAGTCGAATATATATACATAATGGACTCTCCCGTCGGTTTCGACGTATGAGGTTCTGACTGCTTAGTTGATTCAATTATGAAATTTTGTGCGATAATCTTAAGTGGCATTTATGACCCGCTAGTGATTTACAAAGGAGGCCACATATGGAGCAAGTGTGAGGATTATGAGATGAGATCACTCTTAGATTGGCTGACCTTTTGGATCTTGCTCTCGCTTCTTGAAGATTATTCAGACAAGCAGATTGAAAACTGCTGTGTCCAATAAAACACGTTCAAAAAGCGCTCAAGGGTGTTATGTGGTATATTGACTGCTGACAAGTTGCTTTTCAGCTTGTCTTTGTATCTTAGCCATGGGCGTCCTATATTCCTGTAGCCCTGATCTAACTGGCTGTACATTAGGATCTTGGGTATCCTGTCATCAGACATTCTCAAGACAATACCAGTCCACCATAACTGAGACTGTATGAGAAATGTCTCGATTCCTCCAATATGACAACTGTTAAACATGCATATATATATATATATATATATATATATATATATATATATATATATATATATATTGAACAAAAAGTCCCCAACCAACCAACACCTAACTTTAACAGTAAAACGATAAGACATGGTTACCAATTTAATAGTACGCTTGAATTCATGTAGTTTGAGTACCAGGGGAAAAAAAACACGTTCGAGCTTTTGCTATGAAAGTATTTCTAGAATAGGCAAAGAGAAGCCACGTCACGTCTATGAGAAAGTGACTGGAGACAAGCTGTCTGATGAAGATCGATTTTATTGCAGACCCCCTTAACTAGATTTTATCAAGAATTTCGAGATGCACAGCTAAGAACTTTAGGAAAATATGGAACTGATGATTTAATAGAATGTAAATTCATGATGGGAATTGCTATCAAGCAAATATTGTTTGTGAACGTACGGTGGAATAATAGATAAAGGCTCTAACTGAGAAACGAGTTCGAATTCCAGTCGAGTTCATTACATTCACTTATTCGTAATTACTCTTGGGAAAGGTATGAATCTATCTCTTCACTTTCTATGGGTAAATAGCAGGACAGGAAAAAAACTCTGAATTCAAAACCACGACGGTTGGGCTATCTTGCCAGGAAACACCACTGCTACTGCGGCTTCTGTATGCGTGTTGGCCGTGCGACACTTCATAGCATTTAATAGCGGGGGTGGGCTGGTCTCTTTCGTTTTCAGGTGGCAAACAGTCTTGAAAAACAACTTTTGAATTCAAAATTTAAACAAAAGTAGAAGTTTATTCCTTGTTTCCTGTTTAGGATTGGGTTTCCTGTTCGTTCTAAAGCCTACTTTTAGCGTCTCCACCTGAACTCTGGAAATGGGTTTACTATTTTTGTCCTCAATAGGAGTAGATAGGTTCGCCTATCACCCGGTTCACACCTACCCTGTCCTTTTAAACAGGAGTAGGTTTATTTCTTGTTTCCTGTTTATGACTGTTTCCGGTTCCTTCTAAAGTCTTTTTCATTCCCATTCTCACTCTCACACACACACACACACACACACATATATATATATATATATATATATATATATATATATATATATATATAATTATATTTTATATATTTCAAAAATGTATTGCTGCTAATATTTTTTTACAAACCATTTATGGTATTAAAACCTATTTTTACGCTTTCATAGTGTTTTGACCCCAGTTTGGGGGTTAACTAGCTGGGACCCTAACAGGTGCTACGATCCCGGATGGACATGAGGATACCAGCAATTAAAAGGTAGTTCTACACTCCTCTAAACCTCCTGATCAAAGGCCTTGATGTTGAACATAGTTTATCGTTTTACCAGGGCATGAATGTAGTTTATCATCATACCCAGGGCGGTGGCAATTAGATCTCTTTGCTTTAATATTGAAATAGCTAAATGCAACAAATATTATTATGGAAATTGTTCTGATGTGCTTTCCTTCTTAGTGGCATTATCGCCTTGCTTGATGTGAATAGATTTAAAAAAAGAAAAAAAAGAAGCTGCAGCCCTGGAGAAGCTCATACTTAAACTATAAGTAAAGTTATACATATAGGTTCAATATTCTGAAAGAAAATGGCCTGGGCAGACGGACGTGCTCAGAATCCAACTGCTATGATGAAGAACTGATTGTAGTGTACCTTCTAAGTCGAAACAGTTCTGATGAGTAAATTATATCCAAGCTTAACATATGCGGCCTTATTTCGCTATGCCGAGTTTAGTAAATAACAATTAATAATTGTTTAACCCCAAGAAATTAATCCAGTAAGCTGCAAGGGGTTACTCGAGTGTAAGAGAATATGAGAAACTCTTAAGGAGAGAGAAGAATAAAAGAGGAATTAAAACAGAAAATAAAGATAAGTGGAAAGCATGAAAGCAGAGAGAAGAAACTGTTGTCATAGAACTTACGGTTGGATCTAGCCATTTCAAAGTCTGTCTATATTTCTGAGATGAGGTATTATGTACACTATTTACATTATTCGGACTTGTCCTCATCTTTGTCGCCATATTTATCACAACGTTTCGGCTTCTTCAGGTGGTTGGAATGTCGAACTGAACCCTTTATTTCGCACAATGGGTAGACTGTTCTAGTTCCACGTGCCATGTTTAATGGATGTCAGTTATCTCCTGCTAATTTCCCTCTGAAAGTTCTCCACTGCCTTAACCGGGTATTGAACTCACACTCTTTGGGTCCTGTCACTGGATCTAACCAACGCCTTTATCCACTGTGCGGACATCTGTGTATAAATCTTTTGGTATTATAAACCTAATGTCTTCAGCAACCATTTTTACCAGAGCTCATATTGCAATTTTGCTGTTATCTTTGCATGTTTTTACTAGAGCTCATATTGCAACTTTTTTGTTATCATTGCTTTTCTTTGGCACTCCTTATTACTAGTTCCCATATTGTATTTATTTCTATGCTTGGTCGGCTCAGGAGATTTTTGTGGCCTAGCATGTGTGCTGATTCCTTAAGTTTACGAATTTTCCAATGGTGTTCCTTGTCTGTGATCTCAACATGATCCCACAGAGGGCGGTGATCTCCCTTCTCTCTCCATACGTGGTCAGCCACGCCTGATTTTTCTACTTACCCTCGTGTTACAGCTTTCTGGTGTTCTTGAAGCCTTACCTTGAGTGGGGCGACCTGTTTCTCCTTCATATTCCTTTCCGCAGCTGCACGGGATAGCGTACACACAGTCTTTAGTCATGTTCTCCTGAAGAAGGCCGAAACGTTGTGATAAATATGGCGACAAAGATGAGGACAATAGTCCGAATAATGTAAATAATGTAGCCATTTCAAGTTTAAAATGATGGGATCTTGCCGCCAATCTAGTCTTGCACTTAAATTCATAAAGTCTACGTATCATAGAGCAAAGTTCATGAGAACTATTACCATGAAAGTATTTATAGAAAAGTCAGTCGTTACGGCGATGGCAAAGTGACTGAAGCAGAGATACCAGCTCAGGACCAATAACCTTACAAATTTTTCTTTGGATTTTATCATGAATCTCTAAATATATAACAGAAACATCGGAGCAGATGTGACAGAAATATTCAATACGATATTCTGTGAATTAAAAAGGAAGACGCAACAAAGAACAAAAAACAGTAAAGGCAAGAAAGAAAATGAAAGAGCTGGTGGTGGGGTCTGGAATTGAAGCAATAGCAAAAAATTCAGATATAAACCAGGAATGTTAAAACAACGAAAATCTCTAAATTGTAGAAATATAAATGTATCTGTCCAATGCTTATTTAATAAGATTTTTTGTGTCTTATTACAGCCCCTGCAATCCTCACCAGTTGCCAAAAAAAGCGTATTTATTTCTTTGTTCTATATTAAATATTTTTCGCCTTTTTTTTTTATTACTTTTAACGGTTAATATTGTCTTCCTTTCTTCTGATTTTGAAGAAACATTCCTTGCTCACGGAACTTTTTTATTATTATCTCCGGGGCGGAAAGCTGTCGAAAGGAAGCAGACGATAATTTTGTCACGTGGTTGAATAAATAAATAAGCTCTAACTTTCCGAGTCATTGGCTTCGTCGCGCCGAAGAAATGTGCCTTTAGCCGGTTGGATGTCCCACCCTAACGTACTTCACTTGGATGCACTAAATTCCTCATCATCTGAGGCAGGTTGAATTGTTGGGTTATCCTCACAGACATCAAATTCAATCTTTTAGCGTTTTTTAAATCATTTTCCCACTCTTTCTTATACATTAGGCCTTAATTTATTTGCTCGCAATTTCTTCTTTCGTCTTTTTTTTTTTTTAAGTTGCGGTTTTTTCCTCCTCATTCTTTCCTCTCGTTTTTTATTCCTCCTCATTCTTTCCTCTCGTTTTTTTATTCCTCCTCTTTCTTTCCTCTCGTTTTTTTATTCCTCCTCTTTCTTTCCTCTCGTTTTTTTATTCCTCCTCATTCTTTCCTCTCGTTTTTTTATTCCTCCTCATTCTTTCCTCTCGTTTTTTATTCCTCCTCATTCTTTCCTCTCGTTTTTTTTATTCCTCCCCATTCTTTCCCCTCGTTTTTTATTCCTCCTCATTCTTTCCTCTCGTTTTTTTATTCCTCCTCATTCTTTCCTCTCGTTTTTTATTCCTCATTCTTTCCTCTCGTTTTTTTATTCCTCCTCATTCTTTCCTCTCGTTTTTTTATTCCTCCTCATTCTTTCCTCTCGTTTTTTTATTCCTCCTCATTCTTTCCTCTCGTTTTTTTATTCCTCCTCATTCTTTCCTCTCGTTTTTTTATTCCTCCTCTTTCTTTCCTCTCGTTTTTTTATTCCTCCCCATTCTTTCCTCTCGTTTTTTATTCCTCCTCATTCTTTCCTCTCGTTTTTTCCTCCTCCTCATTCTTTCCTCTCGTTTTTTTTATTCCTCCTCATTCTTTCCTCTCGTTTTTTTATTCCTCCTCATTCTTTCCTCTCGTTTTTTATTCCTCCTCATTCTTTCCTCTCGTTTTTTATTCCTCCTCATTCTTTCCTCTCGTTTTTTATTCCTCCTCATTCTTTCCTCTCGTTTTTTATTCCTCCTCATTCTTTCCTCTCGTTTTTTATTCCTCCTCATTTCTTTCCTCTCGTTTTTTTTATTCCTCCCCATTCTTTCCTCTCGTTTTTTTTTTATTCCTCCTCATTCTTTCCTCTCGTTTTTTATTCCTCCTCATTCTTTCCTCTCGTTTTTTTTATTCCTCCTCATTCTTTCCTCTCGTTTTTTTATTCCTCCTCATTCTTTCCTCTCGTTTTTTTATTCCTCCTCATTCTTTCCTCTCGTTTTTTTATTCCTCCTCATTCTTTCCTCTCGTTTTTTTTATTCCTCCTCATTCTTTCCTCTCGTTTTTTTATTTCTCCTCATTCTTTCCTCTCGTTTTCTTCACTCCATCGTCTTTCTTTCCTTTCATCTTTTTCCTCCATCGTCTTTTCTTTTGTCTTTTTCTCCTTCTATCATCATTCTTTCGTTTTTTTTTGTTTTTTTTTTTTCATAGATCTTCATAATTTCTTTTCGTCCCCCACCCCCGTCATCTTTCTCTTCTTTCGTTTTCTTTCCTTTTGCCTTTTTCTGCTCTCTTTCTCTCTCCTACTCTTCGGTAGTTTTTCTCCATCGTCTTTCGTTCCTTTCGTTTTTTTCTTCAACATTCAGTTTTTTTTTCTTTTAGACTTTCCGTTAACCATTCACCAACCTTTTCTTTCTTTCTTTCTTTCTTTTTTTTTTTTCTGTTTCTTTTTCTTTCTTTTTTTTACCTTTTCGGTTGCCTTTTAATTTAATCCTATCGCCGCCCTTCAATTTTCCACGTTTAGTGATTCCCCCCCCCCCTTTTTGAACCTGGCCCTTTCGAGAATCCATTCGAATGAATCAGGTCATCAATAAAACCTATTGAGTTAGCTGAAATGAGTAAAGGTCGTCTCCCCTACAACGAACCTTTTTTTTTTTTTTCCCCTAATTTTTCCTTCTTCCCGCGACCAACAAAAGTTGTTTTCGCGTTGAATCTTCAAATCTCGTTCAAATCTCGTTTCGCTTTCGGATTTAAACAGTTCATTGAGTTATTTCCTCCTTATCACTTCCTTTTCTATTCATTATCAGTCCTTTTCTCTTTCTTTTCTCTTCTTCAATTCTTTTACTTTTTTCTTTCTTTTCCTCCGTTTTTGCCGCTGCCACCTTAAAAGTCAATTACATTTCTGTCAATCTATTCATGCCTTCATTTACCTCACCTCAAGATTTCCCTCTCTCGGTCTCTTCCCTCCCTCTCTCGGTCTCTTCCCTCCCTCTCTCGGTCTCTTCCCTCCCTCTCTCTTCCTCCTCTCTTCTCTTCCCTCCTCTCTCTCAGTCTTCCCCCTCCTCTCTCTCTCCCCTCCTCTCGGTCTCTTCCCTCCCTCTCTCTCAGTCTCTTCCTCCCTCTCTCCATGTCTATACATAGGATCATTTGTCTCTTCCTACCTTATCCATCTTTTCTCTTCCACTCTCAGTTCTTTCTCTCCTCCTCCCTCGCTTTTCCTTCTCTCTCCTCCTCCTCCCTCGCTTTTCCTTCTCCCTCCTCCTCCCTCTTCTCTCTCTCCTCCTCCCTCTCGGTCTTCCCTTCTCTCTCTCTCCTCCTCCCCTCTCTCTCTCTCCTCCTCCCTCGCTTTTTCTTCTCTCTCTCTCCTCCTCCCTCGCTTTTTCTTTCTCTCTAAATCCTTATTTTTCTTCTCTCTCTCTCCTTCCCTCTTTTTCAAATTCTTATCCATCCCCTCCTTTTCTTCTCTCTCTCTCCTCCCTCTTTCTCTCCTCCTCCCCCTCCTTTTCTTCTTTTCCTCCTTCTCTTTCTCCTCTCTCCTCCTCCTCCTTTTTTCTCTCTCTCTCTCCTCTCCTCCTCCCCCTCCTCCTTTTCTTCTCTCTCTCTCCTCCTCCTCCCCTTCTTTTCTCTCCTCCTCCCTCTCTCTCTCTCCTCCTCCCTCCTTTTCTTCTCTCTCTCCTCCTCCCCTCCTCCTCTCTCTCTCCTCCTCCCTCGCTTTTTCTTCTCTCTCTCTCCTCCTCCCTCGCTTTTTCTTCTCTCTCTCCTGCTTCTTTTCTCACTCTCTTCCTGGGTTTTGTTTCCCAAACACCTTCTTACTCAGCTTAGTCTTATTTGCCATATGGTCAAATGTATGTAAAACCCAGTGAGGATCAAACGCCGTCCGGAAGGAATTCTCTATTTACGCTAATCTTGTGAGATTATCTAACTAGCAAATCAGTATTCCATATTCTGACTTGAACCCCGATTTCTAACACCAGTGTACATTATGTTTAGGTACATTAAGACAGACGAATTTTCACAGGTTGAATATTGTATGGAGTAATCGAACTCAATACTATTAATCGATTAGATTAGCTAACCATTACCTAGCATTGAGGCTTAGTTTTAACACCAGCGTGCAGGAATGAGGAACCTAGTGAGGATGTGCCTCTTAATTATGATACAAGGTTAAAAATTATGTTACAGAAATTCCTGGATATTATTCAGGATACCAAGGGACGAGGTTTGTAAACTATTAAGTGAATCTATTTTTATGAAAAAACTTCTGGGTTATTTCGATAAGACTTCAAAGGACTCTTTAAAACAATGGAGGTATTTCATCCGGATATTCGTATTTGTTGGTTGGTGCCAAAATTGAGCGAGCTGGCCGGCAAAGTCAGTTGTTGTAGAAATTTGCTTCCGAACAGTCCGTTCAAGTAAACTCTACAGCAAAACTCCAGCAACTCCTCAATAAAAGCCGTTGCATTTCTTTGCGAATACATCGTATTTTTTGGTATTTTCCGCCGCTTTCCAAGGCATGCAGCAATAAACGACATTATCAGAAGAGGTCTGGACGCAGCTGGGTTTCATTCTCAAATCGAACCCCTATGCCTCGACCGTGGTGATGGAAAGCGGCCGGATGGGATTACCATTTTCCCTTTTAAAATGGGGAAGTCGTTGATTTGGGATGCGACCTGTGTCGATACATTTTCGTCCGGTAATTTGATCAGGTCCGCGGTTGAGCCGGGGTTTGTCGCTCGGGACGCGGAGATAAAAAAAAAATTTAAATAGTTAAATATTCTTCTCTTGCTGACAGATTTATTTTTACTCCATTGGCAGTGGAGACATCTGGGTTTATTGGCCTTCGTTCGATGGCGTTCCTTTGGAGGGTTGGCCCGATTGCGTCTCGATTAAGGGACGGGCCTCGCGAAACGGAGTGGCTCTTGCAGCGTGTTTCACTGGCGATGGTGCGAGGTAATGCTTTCTCCATCATTGCGAATGGCAGATGATATAAAAAAAAAACAACTTTTTTTTTTAAGATACTTTATTCAAATAAAACTTTGTTTCATAAAAAAAAAAATTGTGAATGAATGAGTTCACTGTGTGTATTGTATATATATATATATATATATATATATATATATATATATATATATATATATATATATAAAAGATATAACAGTATATATAAAATCCGGTGTTCTTATAATAAAAAGATTTTTAAAAATAGTGCTCATATAAAATTACAGTGCATTAATATTATAAATTTTTTGATTTAAAAAATTTTTTTCAATGTAAAAAACATATTTTAAATCATTAATATTATAAAAAATGGATTTTTTTTGTCCCTGCTTTATTTTACGTCTTGTGATTTCTGATTTCTAACAAGGAAAAGAATACTGAACTGCTACGTGATATTTCTCCTCCTGTATGACAGTGAGGAGGAGACTTGACGCAACAGAAATTTCCTTCTACAGAAGGATGCTGAGGATGCCAATGGATCGAACATGTGAGCAACGACGAAGTTTTAGAGAAAATGAAACGAAAGAGGAAACTAATACTTAACATCAGGAAGAAACAGTTGAGGTTTCTGGGATACATAATGAGGAAGGAGGGCTTGGAAACTCTGATACTCACAGGACAGAGGCTAAGAGGGACAGGAAGAAAACATAAACCTATTTAGTGAGCTTGTGTAAATGGATGGCAGAACAGGTTTTAGGAGAAATAAGAGTAAGACAGTTTATTAACAGCTACAAGGGACAGGAAGTTGTGGAGAGCCATGATCGCCTACATCCTGAGGCGACACGGCACGTAAAGTAAAAATAGGACTTGTCTTCTCTGCTTTTTGGGTTTGTGAGACTAGATTTGCGATAAGCACTTTTAACAGACATTTTTTTTCTTGACATTTTCTTAAAAGTTTCATCGGATAATTAAAAATTCCGAATAATTGAATATCTGAAATATCGAACAAGAATGAAAAGTATTTTTACTGAGGAAAAAAATAAACTTATGTCATCAAATAGCATTTTGTCCAGTTTTTCTTTTTTTTCATTTTTAAAGAAAAAATGCGTAAATTTTATTTTGTCTGTTTAAGCGCATAAGTTTCGTAGACAATAATCTTTGACATAACCAAACTCTGATATATTTTCTTTGTATGAAAACAAGGAAGTTAACAAGAATTCAATTGATTGATTTTTTTTTTCCCACGTCCCGTGTAAGACGATAAACTACATAAAACAGCAAGGCCTTTGATCAGGCGGCTTTGAGAAGCATGGAACGACCTCCTTAACTGCTGGTGTTCCCAGGTCCACTCTGACCAGAGTTGGTAGCACCCGTTAGGGTCCCAACTATGGGCAAATAATTAATCCCCAAACTGGGGTCAAAACACTATGAAAATGTAAAAAATAGGTTGGAATACCAGCAATACATTTTTGTAAAAAAATTATTACCAGCAATTAATTTTTGAAAGAAAAAATATTACCAGCAATAAAAATCTTGTTGGCATTAAATAACCAACTGAGGTTGATATCTCGTAAAACAAAACAATCAATTGATTTTTATCAGCTTTTCTTTTTTCTTTTTTTCTTGTTTTCCTTTTTAATATTGAACGTTGAGTATGTTGTCCTCATATTTATTGTCATATTCACGACGTTTCGTCCGTTGCACAGCCCGGCCTTCTCCTTCAGGCGATATACGCTGGAATTTCCGACCTAACCCTTTATTTCGCCCACCGGGGTAGATTGTTCTAGTTCCACGTGCCGTGCCTTTTCCGGATCTCTCAGTCTTCAGTTATTTCCCTTTATTAACTCAACAATTTACCCCAGTGAACGAAATAAAGAGTTCGGTTCGGAATTCGATTGTATATAACCTGAAGGCCGGAGAGCACAACGGCCGAAACGTCGTGGATATAATAATAAAGATGACAACAATGTAAATAGTGTAAATGATTTCGAAAATGTTCGGATGATTTCCATTTTCCGTTCGAGTAAATACTGTACTCTGAGATTCGAACTCGTTACTGCGAAGTGTTGCTGAATAATTTTGTCTGGCCCGCTTTTCAAAATCTAAGCAAACATAGGAATTTATTTTTGAAATCTTGCTTCTGTTGAGAACTTTTCAACAATTCTTTGGGTGATAGTCAGTGAAACGAGCCTCTTAAACAATGAAGATCCATCCAATGTAATTTGTTTTGTTTTTTTTTTTCTGATGCAGCTTTTTTATCTGTCTATATTTCTGAGATGAGGTATTATGTACACTATTTACATCATTCGGACTATTGTCCTCATCTGTGTCGCCTATATTTATTACAACGTTTCGGTCGTTGTACGCTCCGGCCTTCTTCAGGTGATTGGAATGTCGAACTGAACCCTTTATTTCGCTCACTGGGGTAGACTGTTCTAGCCCCACGTGCCATGTTTAATTGATGTCAGTTGTCAGTTATCTCCTGTTAATTCCCCTCTCCAAGTTCTCCACTGCCTTAACCGGATATTGAACTTCATCAGAAAGCTGTAACACGAGGGGAAGTGAAAAAATCATCCATGGCTGACCACATATGGAGAGAGAAGGGAGATCACTGCCATCTGTGGGATCAGGTTGGGATCATAGACAAAGGACATCATTGGAAAATTTGTAAACATAAGGAATCAGCACATATGCTCGGCCACAAAAATCTCCTGAGCCAACTAAGCATAGAAATGAATACAATATGGGAACCAGTAATAAGGGGTGTCAGAGAAAAGCGATAATAACAACAAAAATTGCAATATGAGCTCTAGTAAAACCCTGGATTGATAACGGTAAAAATTTCAATATGAGCACTTGTAAAATGATTACCGAAGACATTAGGTTGATAATACCCAGAAATTCATACACAGATGTCCTCAAGGACACAGGGCACAGTGAATAAAGGCGTTAGTTAGATCCAGTGACAGGACCCAAAGAGTGTGAGTTCAATACCTGGTTAAGGCAGTGGAGAACTTGGAGGGGAATTAACAGGAGATAACTGATAACTGACATCCATTAAAACATGGCACGTGGAACTGGAACACTCTACCCCAGTGAGCGAAATAAAGGGTTCAGTTCGAAATTCCAACCACCTTCTTCAGGTGGTTGGAATATTGCCATATTTATTTCAACGACCGAAACGTAATAAATATGACGACAAAGATGAGGACAATAGTCCGAATAATGTAAATAGTGCAGCTTTGTTACTTCGACTCTCATGAACATTTCATCTACTTTACTCTGATAAAACCAAGTCCATAAGAATCATTGTGTAATGAGTTTATTATCTCAATCTTATCTATTTTAAAATTGTAGTTCTCCAATCAATACGTTAACCGCCGCCATGAAAAATTACCGCTTAGAATTCAAGCCCCGTAACAATTTTCAGTCTTCAATTTTCTTTTTTTTCCAAGACCTCTCCTGACGTGTTCCTAATCTTAACCTTAATATTTGAAGCTTTCACTTCACGATCTTTTCGATTTGCTGGCGAACATAAGCGACAAGTGATGCATTTTTTGGTAGGTTTACCTTTCCCTGTTTAATCGACGACATAAAAATGGCGGACACTACATTCCGGCAGGAAGCACTTTGAGGAAGGAAAGTCGTCTGCTTTGCTCCAGTCTGTCTAGTGAGTTGAACTTTGGCTATTGTTATCTCTTTTATTCATTTTTGATCTCTCTCTCTCTCTCTCTCTCTCTCATTAATACTTTTTATTCTTCTCTCCCTCCCTCTTTTATTTGTCTCCTTCCTTTCCGCCCACTCTCTTCCTCCTTCCGTCTCTCCCTTCCCACTCATATAAGTGAAATTAAATGTAAGAATCTAATCACCACAACGATTATATCACATTCTCTGCCCTAA